TGTAAACAAGCAAGCCAGGAAGCAGAGGTGAAGGAAGAGAGATGCCAAACCACATGAAAATCACCCAGGAGCAGAAACTCAAGGAGACAAGGGCCTTCCTCTAGAGCCAGCAAAGCTAGTCTTCCTCCATGCCCAGAATTTGTATGTCTAGTCTTCTAGTCTGTGGGAACTTGTAGTGTTCTGTTATAGCAGCACCAGATAGAGTAAGATAGGATTAGGGTGTTCTTCCCGAGCTGAGAAAGAGAAAGAAAGCCTTCCCCTACAGCCAGCATCCTGAATTCAGATTTTAGTCTCCTAAAATGTGAGAAAATAAAGTTCTGTTTGTTAAAGCCAACCACCTGTGTTACCTCTGTAGCAGCAGCAGCACTAGGAAACTGAGAATTTTCTATCACGTGGGGTGCTGCTCTAAGAGATAACCTAAAATGTGGAATTGGTTTTGGAGTTGGGTCATGGGTAGAGGCTAGAAGAGTAGTAAGGTGCCTTATAGTAAAAGCCTAGATTGCCTTGAAGAAACTCTTGGTAGGATTGTGGACATCAAAGGCTATCTGGACTGGCTCCGGAGGAAGTAAGGAGTGTATGGATGAAGACTTCATCATCTGTGAAAACGCATAGGGCACCACCAACACAATGGTGCTGGAGATGAGGCTTTAACAGAAAACCGTGAACAGATGATTGTATAGTGGAGGAAGAGAGATGCTGTTTGTGCAGTGGGAAAGAACTTGTGTGAATTATGTTCAAGTATTTGGTGGAGGGGAGAATTGTAAATGATGGGCTTGATGTCTGGTGGGTGAGATTGCTACTGAAGATCTCATAAGGGCCACATGGTTTCTCACCACTTACAGTAATATGCAAAGGGAAAAAGGTGGACTTTAAAGTAAATGTGTAAAATTAAAATGGAATGTAAAGGTTTGAGAAATTCCACTCTACAAACTAAGAATGTTCATCAAGGATGCAACTTCAAATTTTTTGTTAAAGAAATTAAGCCTGAGATAGTAGATCTAACCAAATACCACAGCAGAGAACCCATCACCCTACAGACTGAAAGAAAGGGAGGGTCAAAGATTTGCTAAAATCCCAAAGTCTGGAATTCTACAGACAGGAATCTATTGTTCTAAGAAGAGAATAGGCCCATCCCTGGATTGGCAAAGAGATGGGTTGGAATTGTTGGAAGGAACACCAGCAGAGAGCCTTCTTGTTTCCAAGGGGCAGGGCCATGGTCTCCTAGCTCTCAAATGGTGGGGCCAAAGTCTTGTAGGCTTCAAAGTCTGATTTTAAATAACTTGGTCCCACCGGTCAGGTGGCTCCTACGGTGTACCTGTGGGATAGGGCTGCCACCCAAAGCTGAGGTGCAGAAGAATGGACTTACGAGGATGGACTAGCCAGGAGCTGAATTGCCATCCCAGAGGGCTCGGAATACAGAACTCAAGGAACCACCTGAGATTCAGAGGGCAAACCCATCACCCAGAGTCTAGAGAGCAGGGCCATTGTCTAGACAATCTCAGAGAAGAAGGAATTATTTTTAGGCTTTGAGACCTACTGTAAACTATTGGCTGGGTTCAGATTTGCTTTATGCCGGTTATTTCTTCTTCCCACCGGTTTCTCCCATGTGCGTTGCAAGTGCCTACCTTGTGCCGTTCCACCATTGTACTTTGGAAACAGATACGTTGTGGTCTAGATTTCATAGGTTCACAGATGAGGGGTTTTGCTCCAGGATGGATTACGAAGGATAACCTGACCCCCCCCCCCAAAAAAAAAAAAACCCCAAACAACAAAAAAAGGGACCTTTTTTTTTTTTTTACAAAACAACCTTATGACATTCAGAGTACTCCATTACACTTAATACATTTGTCAAATCTATGATAGCATCCTTGGAAACGTTTTTCAAACTCATCTGTTTGGATGGCTGACAGCATCTCCCTTGTTTTTTTCTTCACCTCTTCTATGTCTTCAAATTGTTATCCTTTCATGTCCCTCTGCATTTGCAAAAGCTAAAAGGAGTTGGGAATGGAGCTAAAAGGAGTTGGGAATGGTGACTAAAGTGCGTGGGGCAAGGGAGGCATGCTGTTTTTGAGATAACTGTGTGAGCAGGTGCATTGTTGGGGTGGCAAAACCAGTGCCCCATCTGCCACAAATCAGGCCTTTTTTTGATTGCACGCTGTTATGCAATCTTTTCAGAACCTCTAAATAGAAAGCTTGACTAACAGTCTGAGCTGGTGGAACAAACTCCAAATGCACTATAAGCAGACATTTTCATCCCCTCTGGAACTTGACAGACATCTAGAATGAGGTTTGTCATCAATCAGCATTTCACCTTCTTTGAAATGAGAAAGCCACTCTTAATGTACACTTGAGTTTTCCCACAGTGCTAGCCTTTTAGGCTGGGTTCAGCATCACAATAGTTTCTGTGGCATTTTTCCTGAGCAGGGAACAGAATTTCACAGCCGTATACTGTTCTCTTAAATTAGTCATCACAAAAAAACGAGGTTCGATCGAAACTGCTTTTACCAAAAAATTCAGTGCTCAGAGAGAACCTTTCCTGGTGATGCCACTGGGTGCACTAAGAGTGAGTTGCTGGATGCTCACCTATTTGGAAAAATGCGCTCCACATCACCTAGCTTAATGCCGGGTTGTTGGTTTTTTTTGTGACTCCTCATACACTTAAAAGTTTTGCCCACAATGGATTGAGATACCTCAGAAGATGAGATTTTGGACTTGGAGTCCATTTAAGAGTTGTGGTATGATGTTGTGACTGGGTACATGTGGCCAGGGCATGAGCTGAGGGGCATTGGGTGGAATGTTCTGGATTTAATCAGTCCCCCCTCCAAAATATGTTGTAACTTCTAACCTCTCTATTTGTAGCATAGTCCCATTTGGGAATGAGTTTTCTTTGTGTTGTTAATGAGCTAGGACTTGAGTAGTGTGTACCTTGAATTCATTCTCTTTTCTGATATAGAAGAGTTAAGTTAAGCAAGCCTGGAAGCAGAGATGGAGGAAGAGAGATGTCAAGCTACATGAAGATCACCCAGGAACAGAGGCCCACAAGGATAAGCACCTTCCTCCAGAGCCAACAGGAGAGAAGAGAAACTTCTCCTGGAACCAGTTTTCTGTATTTGGACTTTCAGCCTACTAAACTGGGAGAAAATTCATTTCTTGCTCTTACAACCACTCACTTGTGGTATTTCTATTGTGGCACCCCTAGTTACTGAAGATAACCACCTAGTTCTCTCAGGGGCCAGAAACCCCATCTCATTACACCCTAGGAGCCCTATCTCTTCAACTTGGATATTGATCATTTGTAGCCACAAGTAAATCTGCCTGAACCCAACAGCTCTGAGGATAAGCCTGCCTTACTCCCAGGGTCCTTTGGTGGTTTTTCAACTGCTGCAGCCTTATATGAGCAGAGAATTTCCTTAGTTCATGAAATTGATCCAGGAAGAAGTAGTTCCTGGGGAGTTGGCTGGTTCGAGTCTCGGGCCCACAAGGCAGAGTGTTGGGGGAGAGTCCAGCTAACACCCTGAGAGTAGAAAGCCAGGGTGAGCCGGGGGGCCATCAGCTGTGCGTCTGTCATCTGGCCTGCATTATTCATGATGTAACTGAAGCACGGCTGGGGGTGGGAAGTTAGAGCAGGAAAAAGACTGGGAGTCATGTTACAATGCAGCAGGTGCAGAGGATGGAAAATGGCCCGGTTGGTGGCGACCCCCCCACCGGCTATCCCATACTGCTTGTTTGTACATTCACAGCAGATGCCCAGTGTCAAGTGGAAAACCAAACTGCCGCCAGTCTGCCTTCCCAAACAGTAAACAGACTTTCAAACACCAAATCCTCATCCTGGAGACAGGGTGTGTGTCAAGTCTGGCATGCAGGAATTGTGGACCTGCCAGGTGTGTTTGGCTCCTGTGAAAGGGGAAGTGGCTTTGCTTTGTGCTGTGGCAGTTGGCAGAGGACTTTGACCTCTTTATGTTCCCAGCTGGCCTGGAGAAAAGTGCAGCCCCAGCCATGACCAGCAGGCCACGGGGAAATCAGTGTGCATCGTACTTCAGAACCTGCCATTGTGCTAAGAGCTTGATGTTTTGTGAGAAGTGACTTACAGCTTGTTGCCACCAAGGAGTGCCGTAAAGTTCAAAAGTCTATGAATAGAACTGTCAGTAGAGATGGAGAATGTTTTTACACCCAGTCCTCCGGATTCAGACCGCTGAATCTCGCCTAGCTATTAATAGGATGGCTTAGGAGTCCCCACCGATAGAGGTCAGTGGACCGTCGGAAACCTTATTCCAGAAAGATGATAACACCTGGTGATTCTTTTCTGCTTAGTGTCTGTTTACTCCCTCAGACCATTCCTGGTTGAGTTCCTTCTTCGTAGCACTTGCACTGTAGCCAGTGTTCAATACTCCCGGCACCTAAGTGTGCTTCTGGGCATCTCAGCGTGCTTTCTTACACTCTGGCCGGATCATCTCAGCCTTCAGCAACCATCCTCACCCAGCTAGAGAGAGTGCTCAGTTACAGTGAGGGGGCCATGATGCTTCAGCACACAGAAGTATTCTAGTAGGGAATGAGGCAGCTCACTAGGACACTTGTTGTATGAGTTTGTAAAGCACTTTGCAATTCTAACCTGTCTGCAGAAGGGCACGAGGGAGCTTTTGGGGGTGATGGGAATGTTCTGCGCCGGGGCTGTGGCAGAGGTTACACAGTTGGATGCGTCTGTGGAATGTCACTGGGTTGCACGTTTAAAATTGGTAAACTAGTGTGCCCTACAACCTCAGTAAAGCCGGTTTCAAAAAAGAAATGGCAAGAGCAACGGCAGGGCAATGGCACCCTACTGTGGAGCATGGAGGAAAGCCCTGCGATTGCTGCTTGAGGGTTAGGGAGCCTCCACTCCAACTTGCTGATCCCAAAGGCCTTTTCATGGACTTAGAGTCATTTAAAGAATTGGGATGTGCTGCAAGACAAACCATCGCCAGCTTTCGCCATCCCCTGACATGCCCTGTCTCGGTCTTGCTGTTGCAGGTCAAAGGCAGAAATGAGGCACACCTGCCGAGGGACCATCAACCTTGCCACAGCCAACATCACGGTGGAGGACTCTTGCAACTTCATCATTTCCAATGGCGGTGCACAGACCTACCACCTGAAGGCTAGCTCAGAGGTGGAGCGGCAGCGCTGGGTGACAGCCCTGGAGCTGGCCAAGGCCAAGGCTGTGAAGATGTTGGCAGAATCAGGTAGGACACAAAAGACACCTTGCCAAGAGAGCTTTCCAGGGCCCTTTTTTCGGGCATGTCTCGTTTTGGTCCTCTGGGTGTTCTATTTTGATTACCGCCCATCTCCTAGATAGCTCAGGCTTTTTTTCATTGTGCAGTATGTCTTCTAGAGTGGTGATTTTCACCCAGTGCGCCCCCGCCCCACCCAGGCACATTTGTCAATGTGTGGAGACAGTTTGGGTTACCACAGCTCTGGGTAGGTGAGGCGTTGTCGGCTTTACTGGCTTCTAGTGAGTAGAGTCCAAGGATGCTGCTAAACCACCTACAACGCACAGGCCATTTCCCGACAACCAAGAATTAGCTGGCCCCAAATGTGTAGAGGGCCAACATTGAGAAATTCTTATCCTGAAGGTGTAATCGCTGTGCTTTTCTTTTTTATACCTGTTGACTATCGTGAGTGTAAAGTTGAGAAATGACTTTTGTCATAGTTCAGTCTTAGGACTATTTGAGCTATGTTCGAAGTTTTGTCTTTTCTCTTGATACCTTTCTTAACCATCTGTTAGTCAAGTGGAAACTGCCGTCTTGCTGGTGGTGTGGTGTGTGCCCTCAAGGGGATTCTAACACACAATAGGGTAGAGTCGAACTGCCCCATGAGGTTTCCCAGACCGCAGTCTTTATGACAGTAGATGACTGGGTCTTTTCTTCTGTGGTGCCGCTGGTAGGTTTGAACTGCTGACCTTTTAGTTAGCAGCTGGGCACTTAACACCAGCTGCTAGCAGTGTTAACTTAACAGTGTTAACTCCGTAGCAGTCGTGGTGGTCTGCCCAATCGTATGTGGTGCTTTCTCTGGAGAAAAATGACATCAGTTTGCCACTTTCGCCCTGGGATGTTAATCATTTCCTTGTACTGAGTTTGTTGACTTACAGCTTTGTTTTGTTTATTATCCCCGTCATTTCTCATACTTTAAGCAGAACAAGGAAAAAAACCTGCTTTGTAAATTTTTCTGTAGCGAGTGCTATTTTGCCTGTGGTCCCACCTTGCCGTCTAGCAAACAGTGCAGGTCTCTGGTTATTTCTGTGTTGGGGTTTTCATGCTGATGTTAGCTCTTCCTGAGGAAGTGGCGCTGCTGGAAAAGCACTTTGCAGTCACAGTGCTAGGTACAAAGCCAGTAGTGAGAGCTGCAACGTAGCTGCTCTACCTGACACAGCATCACAGACGGATGAGTGGAAGGCCCTGGGCTGCTTTCTTGGTGGCTTCAGTGTCAGAAGTTCCTGAGCTCTCCTCTGGGTGAGGTGTGCATCAGCGGGCCATGGCGTGGTATGGCCTTTGTCTGAAAGTGCTGGATCGAGATTCTCAACTCACTTAGGATAGGACCCACCACACCCCCAGCAATTTTGTGGTAACTGTTGTCTAGGACTACAGCGGGACTGGCAAGGTGGAGGCAAAAGGTTCAGTAATTCATTCCCAGGACCTTTCAGCCTCTCCCTCTTGTGCTCTAGGTCAGTGGTCCTAAGCTTTAGTGTGCTTCAGAACCCCCTGGGAAGCTAGCTGGCTAGAGATGTGGTTTCCTGGGCCTTCCCTCACCTCACACCTGTTGAAGCTGTCTCTGGGGATCGACCCAGAGATTAGCATTCAGAAGGCCCGCAGGTGTTTCTGATGGTCTGAAATCTCCTGCGACCGGCAAGCCTGCTCAGTCAAAGCACAGCCGTGTTGGGCGGTCCAGCCTGGCTCAGCCCGCTCCCTTGCCTTTTCACCCTTGCAGATGAATCAGGAGATGAAGAGTCTGTCTCGCAAACTGACAAGACCGAGCTGCAGAATACCCTCCGGACCCTGTCCAGCAAAGTGGAGGACCTAAGCACGTGCAATGACTTGATAGCCAAGCACGGCACAGCCCTGCAGCGCTCCCTCAGTGAGCTGGAGTCCCTGAAACTGCCCGCCGAGAGCAACGAGAAGATCAAACAGGTCAATGAGCGGGCCACCCTCTTCAGGATAACATCCAATGCCATGATTAATGTAAGTGACTGGGTGACCTTTTTGTTTCTTTCTTTCTTGGAAATGTGGCTCTGCCCAAGTCCCCGAAAAATGGTAGACAGAAGAAGCACGGAACGTTCGGCCCTGCTTCACTGCTCCGGGGACTGAAGTTACAGTGTTGGTGGCCTGAATTAGAACAGGCTGCATGGATAAGACAGCTCCCATGCTGTGCTCAGGTGGTCAGGAGTACAGCTCTGTGGAGTTAGTGCCCCCTTGCTCCTCCAGCCAGGAAGTGAGCTAGTTGTCCAGAGTTCTAGCTCTGCCCTACAACCTGCAGGTCGACTGGTGGTGATGCTCCTTGAGGCCCTAACATCGCTGGGTGGTGGCGATTTTCATTCTAACTTTAATTGCTAGGTCTAAAGGATTTCTGGGGGTCCTTTCACCTCACCTTCTTTCAGCTTGAAGTTGGAGTATAACTGCCACCATGCTAATCTTGCCTTACAGGGTGGGAGTGAGTGGTACATCGAGTATTAGTAAGAGCCTTTTGCTACTAGCTAATCCCATGTTTTAGTCTTTGGATTTAAAGAGGGAGCCAAAGCTCCCACTTCCTTGACTCCGGCCTTGTTGAAACACTTGAGTGGCTTGGGTGGAAGACTCCATGTAAATGCGGCAGGCTACTGGCAATATTGGTGTGTTTCAGATATGGGTGATAAGTAGGAAATGAATACGTGGTTTAGTTTTCCTTGGCCAGTGGCTGGTTCTCACCAGGCAGGTTTTTTCAGCTGGTGTCCACATAGAAACACTAGGAGAGATTTCATGAGCAAGTGAGAAGAGTATTCTGTGAAAAAGGGCTTATGCCCCCCCCCCCTTTTCATGTTTAATTAAATGGATGAAATTACCTTACTAGGGTCAGATTTTCCCTTGCTTAGCAAGTGATAATTAGACTTCTGCATACAGCTAATTTAATTCACGTGCTTCCTACAGATCAAAGGACTTTTCTTGGGAAAATCTAGTCTCTGTTAACCTTTTGTTCCTTAAAAGAAGCCTGTAACCGGCTTTCTTTATCGTGGTGTTGAACACTTTCACACAATTTAGAAAGAAAACATTTTCTCCACAATCTGGTGAGAAAGGATTGCAGGAAGAGTCATTGTTCACTCCCAGCATCACTCAACAGTCCTCAGTGAGGCTCGTGTGTCTGATGTCATTGTGCACTTTCAGCAAATTGCCCCGCTGCTTCTTAGTGTCCACGTGCCTGGCTTTATTATTAATATTTTTTTAACATGCCTGTTTTTCTAACCCTGTGTGATCGGTCATACAGGCTAGGGAATCAGTAGCAACTGTAGATACTCTCTGAATAGAACAGCTTGAGAATCAACTATCTCCCCATATTCGTGTTACTCTTTGTCCATGTCAATTTCCCCCCACTCCGATGTAAACATTTGCTAAACAAGACACCTGTTGAAAATGCCTTCCTCTTTCTTCTTCGGCAGGGCGTGTTTCCTCCCCAGGGCCTAACTCTGCAGTGTTGGGTTTAAGGGCAGTTATCCCTTTGATGTCAGAGAAGTCCTGTTCTCACCGCCTGTTCGCCTGTTCTGTGTAGCATGTGCTCCTTTCAGAGGTGGTTATTGCTTGAAGAGTGCTTCCTATGCCAGGGTTGTTGCCTTTGAACTTCCAAGGTGACACAGGCAGGCAAGGCCTTAAGGGTAATGTGCATCCTAAACATGAGCATCACTTGGAAAAACCAGTCTTAGATGGAAGGAAAGAGACCTGGATAAGTAAAGCACTACAACGATAAACCAGGGTCGGGGAGGGAGGGGATAAAGGGGAGCTAATACCAAAGAGCTCAAGAAGAAAGAAAATGTTTTGAAACTGATGTTGGTAGCAATGATAAAATTATGCTTGATCAAACAGAATTATGGATTGTTATAATATCTGTAAGCGCTCCCAATAAAATGATTAATAAAAAAAGAAAGACCAACACAGTAGGAAGTCTCACATTTCCTGATCTAAAAACCTGCTTCACAGCCACTGTCGTCAAACAGCCTGGTGCTGGTACAGTGGCAGACAGAGCCCGACGGGGCGGAATTGAGAATCTGTGGTCCTTGCACTTATGGTCAGCTGATCTTTGACAAGGGATGAAAGCTGTGAAATGGGGTAGGAAATTTGGTTCTGACGAAATTGAATATCCACTTGCAGAAGAATGAAGCATGACCCTTAACTTTACATATTACACAAAACTAACTCAAGATGGATCAAAGACCTAGAGTAAAACCTGAAGCTGTACATGATGAAAGAAAAAATGGGCAAACTTGTGGGCCCTAATTTATAGTGTACATAGTTATCAGATAAAACTGATGATGCCGACCCAGCAGAAGTTAATCTAGACAGACCACCAGGGCCTCTTGAAAATGAGAGATTTGGTGTATCAAAACAGTTTCTGCAAAAGAACAAAAAGAGAACTCATAGACAGACTGCATTTTTGGCAATGACATATTTGACAAGGGCTTAAACTAAGATGTACAGAAAACTGTAACACCTCAACAACAAAAAAGGCAAACCAGTCGAATTACAAATGAGCATTGAAGCTCACAATGGGCCTCAGCTAGGAAAAATTATGTCTGAGGGAAGGAAACATTTCATTCAATACCCTGATTTGCTTAGGAGATGGCTTTTCTCACTACCAAAGTACTCTAAACTGCGGATGCACTCTAGTGTCCCATTCCCTACGTCGCCCATCGCTTAAGAAGCACAGACCATATTCTCGGTTCACCAGTAGCACTGTGGGATAAGCAGTGGCTGCTGACTCTAGCTCTGCGGTTCTCAACCTATGCGTTGACACCCCTTTCAGGGTTGAATGACACTTTCACAGGGGTTGTCTGATTCATAACAGTAGCAAAATGACGAAGAAGTAGCAACGAAAATAGTGTTATGGTTGTGGGATCACCACCACATGAGGACCTGTATGAAAGGGTCGCGGCATGAGGAAGGTTGAGAACCACTGCTCTAGCTGCTGTGAGGGAGAGCATTGAGGCTCTCTGCTCCCATAAAGAGTTACAGTCTTGGAAACTCCAAGGAGTAGTCCTATTACGGCCACCAGGAGTTGGAATTGATTCAGTGGCAATGTTTTGGTTCGTTAAGTACTCAACTGCTGATGGAGAGCTGCTTCACACCCAGCAGCTGCTCCTTGGGAGAAAAATGTGACTGTCTTCTGGAAAGATTGGTAGTCTGGGAAACCCTATGTGCTCCGTCCTATGGGGCTGACTCGGGGGCATTGAGTTGGTCTGGATTTTAGGCTCAAGGTAGTGCGCTAAGGGGATATAAGGTAAATAGGGACAGGCTCTCAGTTCTCAGGGCGATTTCTATTTGATGAGGGGAGAAAGGAAAACTGGTTATTATGAAGTGCAGTAAGTACCTTGAGAGAGGTGAACATAGGTTGCTCTGGTAGCACACTGAAGCTCTGCAGCTGGGACGAGGTGGATTGTAAGAAGATAAAACCTCAACTGAATTCTGCGAGACCGAGGAGAGTCATATTGCAGAACGGCAGTCAAGTCCCAACTGTATAACCAGGGGCAGCCTGCTTTCTCTGACCTCGATTCTTATCCGTAAACAGCCATGATGCTAGTAGTATCCTCACAAGGTTGCTGAAATCAGCCACGAGACTGCCTCGAGTGGTGTAAAGTAGAAGCAGGTGGAAAATGCTACAGAAATGTAGGGAAGAGGCTGACTGCTCTAAGACTGGGGGGCGGTGCCATGGAAGAAGTAACATTTGCTATAGGTCTTGAAGAATGAAGACACTAGGCCAAGTAGAGGGAATAGCATATGCTAAGGTGGATAGTCTTGAGAGAAATCTGTGGGTCCCTCATAGTGATGGGCAGCTCATTGTAGCCCACTGGAGGGTGTAGGGGGTCGGCAAGGCTGGAGAGGAGGCTGGTGTGCAGGTTCTGGCCATACTGTGAAGGGCCTTTTATACCGATAATCAGTATTTCTAGTCTGGCACTAGTACCAGTGAGAGGTCACTTATAGGACTGATTTGAACAGATTAATTCTTTTCTCTAGAGCCCTGGGGTTTCTCAGGTAAATCTTTTGTTTCTCTCGGTAACCAAGAATTATCACACTAACTATCCTCATATTTAGCCCTACTCAGTGCAAAAGTCTCTGTTCTCAGTGTCAAAATTCAGTTTTAGATTACTCAAAACTTGCTTAATGAAGTCAGGAGTTGAGCATAGATTTCAGTTGAGAAAAGCCTTAGTTGGAATCCATCATTCCAGGCATTTTCCCTCTGGTTTGGTGTGTGGTTCACAGACTTGCCCTAGGTGTTGCTGCCACACATACTTTGTCTAGGTTTACTGCTCACTTGGCATTCGTTTGGTTTGTCTGACCAGGAAAATGTAAAAGAACCATGACAACCGTGTGCTCGTTCTTCTGGGTTTGACCTTGCTTGTAGCTCGGAGTTGGCTGTCACCGATACTGTGGAGTAACAAGCAACAGCCTTCCATTGTAATTTTCCAGTGGACGTTCCCAGACTGATATTATTTAACAGTGACAGTGGCCTGAGGGAAATCTCTGACGAGCCGAGTGGCAGTGACACATCTCTCTGCTTTCCCCAAACAGGCCTGCCGAGACTTCCTCATGTTAGCCCAGACCCATAGCAAAAAATGGCAGAAGTCACTACAATATGAAAGAGACCAGCGCATCCGACTGGAAGAGACCCTAGAGCAACTGGCTAAGCAGCACAACCACCTAGAGAGGGCCTTCCGGGGTGCCACCGTGCTGCCAGCCAACACTCCTGGCAGCACAGGTTCTGGCAAAGGTGAGAGACGTACTTAGTTCCTCCGTGGCTAGTTCTGATATGAACAGGTGGTTTTCTGTGCCGGCCAGAGTGGGTCCCGACTCACTCATAGTCCCCTGTAGGACAGGGTCCCTGAGGCTCTCAGTCTTGATGAAGGCCTCATCTTTCTCCGGTAGGGACCTGGGGTTTTGAGCCACCAACCTTTCAGTGAGTTGCCCCTTTGGAATGAGGGACGTCTGTCAACTGGAATTGGAGCAGTTGATCTCTCCTGGCTTTTCCATTCTCTCTGCCATTTGTTGCAATGTTCGTGCCAGATGTATGGTAAACATAATCAACGTTCTCTCCTTGTAGATCAGTGCTGCTCCGGCAAAGGAGACATGAGTGATGAGGATGAGGAGATTGAATTTTTTGATGCTTTTGATATCATCACCATGCCTGAAAATTTGGGCCACAAGTAAGTTATCTTTGACTCCTGAGGAAAGTACGCACATCTGCCCCTCAGAAAGTTCCTTAGTGGGGGTGTCATTGCCACCGCCAGTGTTGGCCAAGATGAAGGGGGCTGTCTTTCTTCTGAGTGTTGTCCTTTGGCCATCCATTAGTACAGGCATATGCCCTGGGCTTGGCATTCTGCTTTTTAAAGAAATGTAGACCCGACTCTCTAGTCTGATCTTCGTTCTCATTCTGCTGCATCTCCCCTTCACGCAGACGGACTGGCAGCAACATCAGTGGCGCCAGCAGCGACATCAGCCTTGATGAACAGGTAGTTCTCCTGTGGGAGTTGCCAGGGGCGGGGTACTTGACGTATGTGATGTCAAAGGCTTTGCTTGTAAAGAGCTAAGACAGAAAGCCAGGCTTTTTCAGCCCAGGAGAAGGTTGTAAACACCGTGTTTGCTCTCCGTCATGGGTGACTGCATGACTTTGTTTTCATTCTCAGTACAAGCATCCTCTGGAGGAGACCAAGAAGGAGAAAAGAACCAGAATCCCATACAAGCCAAACTATAGCCTCAACTTGTGGAGCATCATGAAGAACTGCATTGGGAAAGAACTCTCCAAGATCCCCATGCCGGTGAGCTTGCTGGTGCCTGAGCTGGTGCCCGGTGGGCTTCTCCGGCTGCAGTGGGAAGAGTGCTGTGCGGTGCCTTGCTACCCTGACAGTTGTAAACTATCCCTTCAAGTTAGCTGGTTTCATTTTCCCTTTGCATCTGGTGTCTCCAGATCACCTAGAATCAGGTGCATTTGTTCATAACAGTTGTGGAAGAGCAAATTGGCTATGCTTGGCATGCAAAGGGCCTAAAAATAAAAGTGAGCCTAGGCTTCTGTAGTTTACAGAGTCTAGCTTAAAGGAAACACATGAAAGGACGTAGAAAACATAGTCTTCTAATTTCTTACCTGGGCCCGCCCTCGTGGGTTTGAGGCTGGTCCCAATTGGTTCAGGACTAGGTTTGCTACTTCCTCCTTGAGGGGCAGTGCTCTGCCCCCACATCCTGTGGCCCATCCCGGGAATTTGGCTTCAGGCACTCCCAGGCATCCTGTTGTCTTCCCTCTTTGAACTTGTTACCTGCTTTCCCACCTGCCCTGGCTGCTTTTCTGCTGCCTTGGCGGCTTCCACCCTCTCCTTTGGAATGCAGCCAACGTGTCATCTCCTTCAGTCAAGTGTCTGGCGAGGGTGAGATGTCTCCCTGGCTGTACTCCAACAAGTTCCACTGTTTCCCTCTGGCCAGTGTGTGTCACTTGCTCATTCTTTTCCAAAACATTGATGAGTGCCTATTGTCTGCCTGGAACCTTATTGGTTCCATGAGACAGGCATTGAGCTGATAGCTTCAAGGTCGGTGGTTCAAAACCCACTAGATGAGGTTGGCTTCCCCTGTAAAGATTTATAATTTCAGAAACCCAAAAGAGCAGCCCTTCTTTGTCCTTTAGGGGTTCTACGAGTTTGGGTTGACTTGATGGCAGTAGGTTTGGTTTATTGTTTGCCTGGTGTTGTGTTCCTGTTAGGTGTAAGTTCATTTCCAAGGAAGAGAGTCACACATATTTCTCTATACCAAAGGTCAACTGATTCTGGCCCTTAGGCTAACTCTGGCTGCCATCTGTACAGCGTCCAAGCTAAGAATGGATTTTATCTTTTTTTTTTTTTAACATTTTATTAGGGGCTCATACAACTGTTATCCCAATCCATGCACACATCAATTGTGTAAAGCGCATTTGTACATCGTTT